TAACGCGTCATCCTTCTATTCTTGGACGGGCTAATTGTTCTAATTAAGAGGATCGCGGCTCTGGAATAACTCGTCGGGTTTATATTCGTCCGTCGTCGCGGTCCGACATTCGCGACGACGCAACAACGCCCCGCGGGGACATTTTTGCGCGTTTGCGTGTCCAAGGGGACGACCAACTGACCTCTGGCTAACGTTTCCACGCTGGTATCGTTGCCCCACCTTCAGGAACTCGCGCTTTGTATCCACCACGACCTCCTTTCGCGGGATCCACGGTGAAAAGCGCGGTGTCTACGCGTTTTAGGCCGGTACGAGCGATCTCGGCCGAAGAACTCTCGTGGAGTCCACGATCCGGTTGGCAACTGAAGAGGAACGCGGCGAGAGGAGACAAAGACGAAGACGAAGTTGAAGCACGCTCTGCCTATTGGGATCGGTGGGAAGCGGGACGAACGGAGGGGGGAAGAGAGTAGCCAAGCAGTGGGGCTTTGCGAAAAAGTAGGACCATCGAGGCTGGGGACCGGAGCCTGCGGAAACGCGACAGAGCGCTAGAAGTTTTTCGAATAGAGTAAAAAGGGGTGGCTCGATGGCTCGCCGCGATTGGCTAACACGGAGAATGGAATTATAATGTTAATGTATAGTCAACGCATCCGCGTATATCCGTGTCGTATCCACGACACTCTGATAGAGGATAACGAAACATGGCGAGCATTAGGAAGAGTGAGTCTTATTTGCAAGGGTGCGAAGTCGCAAAACTCAACTGCAACACGTAACGTAGCAGTCTTGCATTCGGTCGTTCTTTATATTCGTTTAGTTCTTGCTTACTTTGCCCTTCATCGTTCCCTGGCATTCCTATTAAGAGTCTGTTGGAGCTCACTGGCCCCCTTATATACTGCGAGAAACCAAGATGGAGAGAGCATTAGCCAAGTAGCCAGATCAGCGGTCCTAAAAACTAACTCGAAAGGCTAGATACTGTTCGGCAACGTGTACGTAACTTGCGTTAACCTTCGTCCATCGGACTGAATGAAGCTAAATCGCTGAAAATGGTCTCCGGTGCGATATCAGCCAAGGCGAGAAACCAACCTCGCTGGAGGGGGGTCCATGGGAAAGAAAGGGTGAAGAAGGGGACACACGCGCGATTTCGTGGTAGATTTCGTAGAGTTTCGCGGAACGCTCGCAGGGACGTCTTCATCGTGTAAGGAGGACCCGATACGGCCGACGAGCAACCGAACGAACCAACAGAAGAGGAAGAGAACGAAGACGAAGTAGACGAAGACGAAGAGGAGCGAGAAGTTTCCCGTGGAAGAGGGGGAGGGAGCCGAAGCAGAGGAGGAAGAGGACGACGACCACCTATACAAGGACCTACGCGGCCAGTGGGAATGGAATGCAGGTACGAGTCCAGTCTCCGACTTTACTCTTGCCTCCTCACCTCCTGACCAGCCTCCTCCACCTTCTCGTTCTCTTCTTCTTCTTCTTCTTCTTCTTCTTCTTCTTCTTCTTCTTCTTCGTCCTCCTCTTCTTTACCCTTCGGTATCTCCAGGGAGCCGACCCGTTGCTCACCGAATCACCATCGTGTTCCACCTATCGGCTTCACCAGCTACTACCACCGCCTCGCTCTCGTGTCTCTTCGACTACTATACCGCTACTACTAATAATACTATCACCACCAGCTATTGTCGGCGTCTTCGAGACCATCTTCGGGTTCCACCAGTGCGCTACCAATTTCCTAGCTGTCAATTCGACAGTTTCGATCCATAAAAAGTTCCTGCACTGCATAACAGACCCCTTGACAATTCCCAAGACTGTTTCACAGGGGACCAAAGATGCGACTGGAGGGCTCGATAAAAATTCTTTTTCTAAACGAGACGCGTGAAAACGAGGCGACGATGATTTCGAGATCGAATTTGGCGATTAGGGTCGATCACCCAGGGCACCGGTGACGGTAGAAAGGGTCCGCGCGAGTGGAATGCGGTCGACGCGCGGCCCTGCCGTGGGAGACAACCCGACAACCAGCGGCCTACTGTTAGCATCGACGCGTTGTTACGCTCGCGACTCGTTAATTTACAGCCTACGAACACCGACGCCGACTTCTGCAGCTTCTTTTCGCGCTGGAACATTGCGTTAATAGATCGACGCCCACGCTGAGGCGTTGCGAGCATCCTGGGTCAAATTTGATTCCGCCGAAAAGCGAATTAACCCTTTGCGTTGGGTTAGGATCGCTATTTTTTTCTATTTCTTATTGCACACTCCTGCAATGCAAATGGTGCATTGCATGAATGAGAATCTGTAGCCTACTTCCTCGTGATTCTATTTACACTATCATTCCGGTAACCACTCCTCGTTCGAAATATAAATACGCAATGACGTAGAGCTACGTCAGCGACAGCTACCTACAAATTTAAAGATGACGTGCATTTACATCAGCGGTAACCGGTTACGGATTTAAAATTGACGTAGGCATACGTCAGCGGCTGTGAATGAGTAATGAGATTGATCGCGTAAGTTCAACATCTCTTGAACTATATTTCTCCTGCATCCACTAATATGGGTGACAGATTCTCTGTTGGATGAATGATTTCAGAAATGCTTGCAAAACACTGCTTGTTTCAACGATGGGCTACAGCCACCCGTAGCATCCAAAGGGTTAAGTGTATAATACAAAAAGTATGCTAGTCGGGATGTTGAAACAGAGTATCTTCTTCGACAAAAGAAATCGGTACCGTCGGTGATAACAAGCTACATTCGACCAATTTCGCGAGTCAACGCAAAATTTCAACGACTGTAGACACCTGTTAAATGTATCCTTGTCTGTCGTCTCAAACCGAACTGTCTCGAAGCGAAGAATCTGTGCAAATACCTTGAATAAACGCTGTCGAGTGAGAGGGCAAAGTTATTCGAAGACGTCTCTTTTTCCCCGCGTCCCTTTTCCTTGCGCTTTACCCTACGGGAACGCATTCCGGCACGATCGCTGGTAGAAGGCTCGCGACGACGGTCTCGAGCCGTCAATCGGTCTCCTCGAGTGTCGTGGAAGTACGCCATGAGTATCATCGTGCGAACACCGCGTGGAATACCAAACGCGTACGTAGCCGTGGAATGCCAAGAAGCAGCGGGTCGGCTGCGGTTGGTACCATCGGTCGAGTCTCCTGTCGGATCGCAGCGTCTCATTATTATCCCGCGACTGATCGACCGCTCGTTGCGCTCCTCGAGTACACTTGTAAGACTACGGACCAACCAGATCAACGCTATCCGACCGAATACTCGGCAAACTTCCTACCACCGAGATTCCCCTGCCGCACTCGAAACACCTGAATTTATGCTGTGACCCTAAATAGTTTGGGTAGCCTTTGGACGGCGGAGATTGGACAGTGCAATTCCAACATTATATCGTGATGGTTTTGACCCGCACTGTTTTCGAAGAAAGTTCTACATTGAACAAAACGTTATCAAACGATATAGCGTCCTACAGAGAAATACTTGGCGAAGGGAAGCAGTCAATGAAGCTAACTGCATTGCTGCAATATTTTAAGAAAGTGCTAACCTCCAACAGTGGGCAGGCCCGTCATTTAACGTCACTCAACGGCAAGTAGCTCTACCATGCGATAGTCATCGACACGAAGCCAACATCTATGGTATTTATTATTTTTACTTGAGCACTGATTCTTTGAGTTTAGTGATATTGTTTTCTGTTCGTGACAAAATCAAGTAAAAATAATAGTAAACCCATCGTAGGGAATCTAAATCTACTTACTAAGACCTATCGAACCCGAGAATCTTTTCCTGCCCATCGAACTTGTTAAAAGCTCGACCAAAGCGTCCGTCCATCCTTCATCGTCGATTTTCAAGAGAATTCATCGATCAGTTACCATTTCTGCCATCGTCTTCGAGGCCAACTTAAGAAGTAGCGACGTATCCGTCGATCAAGGTAGCGAGCCGAGCAGTCACCGTTTCAAGGCTACGAATACCGACGTCGCCATTATAATATGATAATTCATCGATAATCCCGATGAATAATGGAGGACGGTTGGCGTCGTGTGCGTTATGTCATTGTCAATCTCGACGCGTTACGATTCACGAGAGAGAGAGGGCTCTCCGCTTCATAATGGATTAGCTCCGATTCATGTTCAGCGCGCGGCGTTTCCTCGTTTCGTTTTCGCGCGCGACTTATCGGTGTCACCTTGAATCGCAAATCGTCCACGGCCGCTTTTCCATTCGCAGCTCCGTGGGGAAACGAAAAAACAAATCCCGACGTTTGCTTTTATTTGCGACGGATTCACCGCGCGATCCAGAATTCCGCGGTTTTGCGAGTCAATGTCGATCGAACTCGAGCCTCGGAGATCTCGTTTCTTGTCGATGTTTCTTAGCGTCTCGTTGGAAGTCGAGACATTTGCAGAGAATCCACGTGATGACTGTCCGAATGGAACGGAATCGGGGGATGGAAAAACGTATTTGAGATACGAGGAGAGAACTGCTCGAGAGAGAAATCCTCGTAGAGCGGAGCCAGGCGTTCCGAGTTCGCGACTGACGGTACTCGCGAAGATCGATCATCGATGCTCGCGATCGTTAAGCACGGGTCACTGCATTCGGGTCGAAGGAACTTCCAGAAGAATCGGAGCGATCCCAGGGGTTCTCAGACAAGGGGACTGATCACTTGGTGCTCGATGTTTTTATTATTTTTAGCGATTTAATGGAAGCTACTTGATCTAAAGTTACGAAATGTGTAACCATATACAATAGTTATTACACTAAAAGTTCTTTTTAAATGATATTTCAAGCCTTACTGACAAATTAAGCAACACTTTCTGGTAAATGAACGATCATTTTTCTCCTGTAAAACTGAGACTTACTTTAGGAAGTATCACAGAAAAAAGCTACCATTTTTATCAGCCTGTTCGACGGAGAAAGCGTTTCGGGGCGAGGCTGGCGATCGATTCCAGACACGCTAGCAAAATCCGATGAAAACATGGAAAAATCGCGAAGAAGCACGTGGTGGCCATATCTAGATCCGAGAATAAAACGGAAAGCGAGACCTTGGCACGGATTTGCCGAGCAGTAATAGCATCAGCAGCTACCGTTCCGTTTTTACGAGACGACCGCCGATCGTCTGGCGCTCCCCGAGCAATAATAAAGCGGTACGCTCCTCGTCCTCGCTCTGATGTACTATCATCGATCGACAATATGCTCCGTTTGATACGCGATTGCAGGTAACTCGAATCCAGGATTTCAACTTGAAGCCAATTCTTATTTTTCCATCGATATTGAAAGCGTTCGAGTGCTCGGTATACAGAGCTGTCCGGAAAGGCTATCCAGCGAGTGGCAATATTAGAGGCCCACACAAATTTAAATATTTCTTTAAGATTTATTCAAACGACCTCGTACAAAAATTCTTTATGAATGTAAAGAAACATCGATCAAAGGAATACTTGAAGATGTACGCTCTAGAGTAGAATACCTCCTTGACAACACACTAAAAATGTTTGAAATTGAAGGAGATAGAAACCTAATTATTAAAAAAAAGAATGCAACACCTAGCAAATTTGCGCAACTTATTCCCAACGCCTAATAGATTCAGAAACCTCGACTTTCAAATAGACACCTATCCCACCGTCAAAATCTAATAAAAAAAGAAAAATATAAATTTCATGTCGATTCAGTGCATTCTGGCTAACAACACACGCGTGCACGTAGAGCCGTTCGTGGGCTCTCAGCGTGGGACCAAAGCGACTCAAAAAGTCGCACGGGCGCGCAAGCAGCGGCTCTCAGACAACGAGCGCAGCCTCAATGCGCTCGAGGAGCGAGCGAGCGAGCGAGCAAAAGCGCGGCGGACGAAGACGCAACGGCTTCCACGAAATGCTGAATGCACCTTTCAACCGTGTGCTCGCGCGTGAGCGTGCGTCGACCGTTTGAAAGAATTTGCCTCTCCGTCGTCTATCTTCGATTCATCGAACTCGTGCGCCGACCCGGGCAAAACCGGCTTCGCAAACTTTCGATTCTCTTTCCAGGCCACTCCGAGGCACTCGTCGTTTCATCGCCGCGGAAACACGTCGTCGCATATCGCGCGCGCGACCCGTGCGCGAATCGAGGCGTCTTCCTCGTCCTCGTTGGTCGGATATCGGGGAAAGGTCGACGCGCGGTCTCGCTAGACGAGTTTCGCTTGCTCCTCGTCACAATAGACGGTTTCGTTTCGTCGTTACACCGGTGCGCGATCCGCTATAACGAGACCAGCAGCTGGAGTCGGGCCCCCTTTCCTCCAGGCGAGAGGAAAAAAGGCACGGGAGCCGAAGAAAGGAGGAAAACAAAACGGAAGGGAGAAAGAAAAGACGGAAGCGCACGAGGGAGGGAGACGGGGAAACAGAGAAACGAAGAAGAGACCAGGAGGACGCCGTGAGGGATTTCGGGAGTTTCCAAGCTCGCGTTCGCGTTCCCTCTCTCTCTCTCTCTCTCTTTCTCTGTCCCGTCTAATCGCGTCGAAGAAAGGAGGACCGTGGGCACCCTCCGAGAAAAGGGGGCCCGGGATGGGCACGTGTCTCGAGCAGGACATCTGCCTCTGAAAAGGACCCACTGTTACGTCCCCATTATATCGTTTACCTTAGCAGCGAACCGCATCCCTTCCTTCTACGCTCTTCGCCTTCCTTCCCCTTCCTTCTGAACACCGTCTAAGACGAGCAGCTGCCCTTTTCCCTTGTAAACCGGACCACGCACCTGCCCTTTGAGTTAAGAGGGTGACCGTTAAGCAGCCTCGTCGTAATCGCGACGCTTCGCACGTGGGGATACCCGTCGAAAATGCGACGTGTCTTCGCGATGTTTCGTGAATTTTAAGGGGGCTTTCTATTTTGACGAGTGAACAATAATCGAATTTTTCGTTTTTTTAAATTTAAGAATATGTGCACCTTTGAGAATACGCAATTTAAATTTTGTTAAAAAATTCGTAGGGGGTGGAGCAGCGTGTAACCTTTATAATGAGGGTTGCTCGTGGTTGACAAGATTCGCTGCTCTAGAATTTTTGTATTTTTGTATTTTTTAATTTAATTTAATAAAATATTTCTCCGTGCAGAAAGAAAGCGATTACACTTATTTTGGAAATTTGTTTGCAGGTAGTCCAATTTTCAAGAAACTCGAATGAAAACATTCATCTACAACGAGTACACCATTTTTCCACTTAATGGACTCGCTACAAACTCTACGCTGTTGCTTCCGTTGGCATATTCGTGTCGATGAACAACGGGAATATTTACATTTCGCCGTCGATCGTACTGTCTGTTTCGTCTGATGTTAGGCTGTTGCTGTCAGTCGGGCTATCACGATTGCTTCGTGTTTAACAACCGCTAAAACGTGCATACATTGTTAGCGTTAAGTGACTGTCGATGCTGGATAAGTTGAGACGGTATCGTTCGTTGAACTTTTATTCGTGGAATCATCCGGAGAAAGTACTATAGCAATCTTTAAACTCGATTTTCTTGGAAACTAAGCTTCTTCCTAGAAAATTTTATTTTTTAATACTTGTCCTTTACTTTTAACACTTGGAATCGTCTTTTCACCCCATTGTCGGTTATCCCACGATTTACAACACACCCTGTCTGTACACGTCCTGCATACTCATATTAAGTTGTCCCTCTCGTCTTCTTTTTTATCCGATCAGACATCCACACGGAAGAATAAAACATAAGTTATGCTCTTGTCGAAAAGTCAACGCGCGCATTTCGAGACAAACGAGACGGTCCCCGCACCGGAAGCAGAGTCGCGGATGATCGATGCGCGCCCGCATCTCGGCGGACTAAAACTGCACGCGGGGCGCGTGACCGTTTTAAATCCAGCACGCGTGCACGACCGTCTCGGAAAACGGCGAATCGGTCACCGCGAGCGAGGGGTCCGTTCGCCTCGGGGATGGTCAGCGCGGATCGTAGGTGACGGAATGTAACGAGCGTCGCGGCGCTTCTATTTCTGCGCGGCGGACGTCGACCCGCAGACGGCTCCCAGACTACACGCTAATAACCGCGCGAGAGGACCTCGGAGTGAAAAACGAACGAGCGCCGAGACCCGACGTCCCGATCGGTAAACATTATTAGCGATGGCGATGACAACGAATCGATACACTTCTTCGGTAACCAGAAATAACATTCAAAAAATTTGAAATAAAAATATCATTAACCTTTCGAGGGACGATTTTGTTTTGCTTTAATCGGAATACGTACAAGCAATCTACGTCTACAATTTGATTCTGACATACAAATATGTTGTCTCACTTTGATATTTTATTTCTTTTTCAATCTAGAACGTACTTTTGATCGTAAATTACGGAAATTTTTTATACAAAAATTTTGATCGATAGCTAATCACGTCGGTCCTATTGCTATTAAACACGTGCCCAGATCTTTCCGTCGTCCAAGGCTCGCGAGAACTGGGTCGTTCGGTCTCGTCTGACTACGATCCTACGATGCACCGGTCAAATTGATGCAGAGCGATACAAAAATATACCCGGGGGCGAGCTTGGACGCGGTCAGGACAGAGTTTCGAGAAGGCATACCATATCTTGCTTCTCCTGGCACGCGTCTGCTCGACCAGAAGCGCCTTGTCGCGGCTTGCCAACGCGAAATCTAGGCGTACAGGGTGAAGCATACTCTGTATTGTGCGACACAATATTGTACAATAAAATATGGAATAAAATTCGAGCATCGTATAACGCGTATCGTGTTTATAAACATTGACCTGAGACTTCTTCTAATAATTTAGTGGCTAAGCGGTCAGTTTTCGTTCATCTATCTAGCGATCCTCTTCTACGATCAGGTAGAAGATCTACGATCTCCATTCTCTACAGAACACCCTAACAAACCTCTCCCCTACCACCCCCAAAAAAAACTCAATAATTTCTCAAAAGTATCCTCGAGTATTTCCCGTGGAAGCATCGAGCAGGACCCCTCCCATTCAATTTCCACAGTGTGCTTTGCCTCGTGCACAAAATCCCGGTGTCGCTCGGCGTCTCACCCTCCCCGTTCACTTCAAACCGAAACGTCTCACCCGTGCAAGCTCTCGAGGTTGTCTTGCAGCCACCCAGGGAAACTGCGGCGACCGTGACGTCGGGGTCGATCGATCTGCAACAAAAAGAAAATGCAATCGTAGTGGCGTACGTTTATGGTGCACCCGCGATCAAAGCGTTCAGGTAAAAATTGATTCGATGGAGGGGGTTAGAGAAGGAGAGAGGGGGAGGGTGAGAGAGAGGCTCGTCGGTAGCGTCGACTAAAGGGGAAGCTTTAAAAAGGGCGGCACTGTCTCGCCGTCATTGGGATTCTAACCGAGCTCGTCCGCTTTTAAATGAACGACCCCTCTCGGGGCAACGAAATCGCCTGCGTGTACGCGCGCCTATGCATACGCGCGTGCATTATGCGAACGTACGAACGGACGAATACCTTCTAGGTACGAAAGGAAGCGAACTTCCTTCCTACGTTCGATGTCACGCGCGCCGCCGTTTATATAATCCATCCTGTGACGTCACGTTGTTTAATCCATTCATTACCGAGCCAGCTCTCTTTCTCCGTCATCGGTGCCGCTCACGCATGTGTCGCTATCTCTTTTCAATGCGCGTATGGCAACGGTTGAAACGGGCGCACTGAGAGAAACAGATATTCTAGAAACAAATCGAATACTGTCACTAACGTGAGAGTATTTAATTGACGATTTTGTTAAAGGGGCACGACACTGTACGACCGTCGTGGCCTCTCCAGGCTTCGTTGCGTCGTGTTATTGCATATCTGCATCGTTTGAATATTTTCTAATGGGACAGGAAAATGACACTTATCGCGTAGCGTGCTCGAATGTATGTATGTTATCGATGGATAAACTATTGACGGAGACGCGCAGACTATAATTTTGCTTGACAATGAATAAGGTGGAAATTATTCGATTAAAATTATTTAGTTCGTTAGAATATGAACTATATTTATATATATATATATTCATTTGGTAATGCTAAACAGCGTGCAAATTGCAATTTTTTATATGAATGTTTACAGTCTCTTCGTTTTCGATATTAGTAGCTTTCGTGAAAATGAAACAAGATGATTCAAGAGCCTTGCGAAATTATCTGTAATCGAAAACTGTCATTTGAGATACTTAATTTCAATCGAGAAAGAGGGTGGATGTGTATGCTGTAGCGATGAGTGGGCGGACACGCATCGCAGCGGATTCCGATAGAGGTCTCTTCGCTATCCGCGTAGCTGAAGTCACTAGATATATAAAGTACGGTCTCCGATTAAGCCAATACAAAGATACTTTCTATATTTCGCTTAGGAATGGCGTATCAACCTTGAGAGCTAGTATTTACGACAGCATTCAACCGAGCGCGCTACAATTGGTAGACACTGAACGCACAATTTAACATATATTAAATATGAGTCAGAAAATTGCTATTCTAATAATCTTAATGTGAATTAATCATGCATGCCAATTGTACACCTTCTATATCAATTTTTATTCGTTCTTGAAAAATGATTTATGTCTACATGTGTTAACATACCATACCGCTACACTCGTAACAGTAATATTACAACCGAAGTTTCGTTATAATTTTAATTAACAGGAATTACCTTATTCTTACACGAACCCCTATTCATTAAAATTGCATTAAACAAATTTGGCATACAGAAATTTGATATTGCAGTAACACAGGAAACGATTATCACCACCCATAAGAGAATCGTCCGATAAATAGTAGACGTCGCGAGCGTGCAAATGAAAAAGAAAAAATGAAAAAAAACAAAACAAAACAAAAAAATAAGAAAAATCCAAGGCGAGGCGAAGAAAGGAAATTAGCATCGACGCGCGTCGGTTTCTCGAGTTTCGCAAGATTAAGCGAGTGTCCTGGAAGGGCCGGAAACGCTCGATAGGAACACGAGGCCAGCGCATGGGGATTTAAAGAGACTCGTCGCTGGAAAGGACGAGAAAGCATAAACTCTGTCGAGCGAGGAATAACGTGCCGACATTCGCCTCCGCGATAGAAAAATAAAAAAATGGTGTGTCGACGGAACAACGATTGGTTCCCTGTGCCGCGATATCGTCGCGCGTTCGAACAGGACAAAACTTTTTCCGTTGCCACCGGCTCTGACGTAAACGCGCTCTCCGCCAGTCGATAAGAATTCTGACGCCTCCATTCAGCCGGGAACGAGGGAAAGAGGAAGCCTAGCGCGAAGAGGAGAGAGGGGGACCTGCGGCGCACCAGAATCGAATACCGATACCAGAAGTCACGATTACGAAATCGAAAACGCGAACAGCGACGAATCGACGGTGGAGTCTGCCTGCGGCGCGAGATAAACCGAATTCCGACTCTTTTGTCTTTTGGGATGCGTGTCCTATGGTGTTTGCGCTTACTGGACCTCACGTGCTCGCCGCCCCCTGTGGGCAGTTAACTCGTTTCTTTCCTGCAATGACTCCACGATGGAGTCATTTGCATTCACAGAGTTGGTATAATTACTTTGGTAGTTGGCGGATGTGTTTATAGGACACGAACGCACGATATGATCCAGGTCCTGTTTAGGATATCTCCATACAGCGTAAATAATTTATATATGAAAAAAAAAAAAAAAAAGATAAAAATTCTTATTAAACATATCTTGAACGAGACCTGGATCATATCGCATGGTTATGTCCCGTGATGACAGAAAAAACACGTTGGGTCAGTTTGACGGAATTAGAAAAGAAATCTCTGTACTTAATGCGAGAGCTCTTTGAGAGACATGATATTAAAGTCATAAAGGTCATAGATAGTTTCTTAAGAGCACGCTATCTCAAGATTTAATATATGTGATTGTGGATGATCGTGTGTCCGTATGTTTACTTATAGGTGCACGCACCCAGACTGATTATAATTATACGCTGGCCGTAATTATGTAGGATCGCGAGTGGTTTTAAATACATATGTATGTGCAATAGTTATAGATTAGAGATTATTATTTATTGTAAGAACTCAGCCAAGACTGGCACTTTCGGTGTTTTTGTATAATAAATACGGTACACGTTTAATTGAAGGGATGATTAAGTTGTCGTGTATTTGAAAAAAACTCCTCGACCATATTTTTAACTCGTGTATATATATTAGATGTTTATTATGCAAATAGTATAGGTCTGGCTTTTTAAGAACAAAATTTATGCAAGTAACATTTAAAAAAAAAAAAAAAAAAACATGTTGACTCTAAAAGTTTCAATGTGCAATATTTCCTCGTGACTGTGGTGACTAAAGTTCACTTGCTATACGGTGCGAGAAAAACATTTCTTATAAAAATGGTGCAAATCCATAATCACCAATGATCTGGTGCTTCGCCATTTTATTTTCCTCCTTCGCATGTCTCTCTCGTTGCAGTATACATACTGCTGATCGCAAAATATCCGATGGACACCGCGTAGTTTTCCGTGTTATCATGCAGAATCGTAAATCAGCGCAATTTTATCGAAATAATATGTAGATGACAAATTCGAGAAATGTGAAACGACTAATTCGCCAAGTCGTTCGATCGAGCAGATACCGAGATAAGTTTTTGATCGTTCAATATGTGGCGTTGTGTCAAATAATAAACACCTGTGGAAACGTTGCTTGTTCTGTTCTAGCATGGATACCGTGTTTAAACAATGGTTTGTAACCTACAGAACAAAGTAGACGACACTTACGTTTCCTTTATTTTGTTTGGCTTTCATCCGGCGTGTAAGACATGATACGTTGTATAATAGACACGACAGATATCGTAAACGAAGTAAAATAACGTCCAATTCAAACTCCAATTTTTATTAAATCACCAACGAATTTCTACTATCCAAGTTGTCCTAATCGCGATATCACCTTATACGACCAGAGACGTGTGCTTGGAGAATCGGACGAGTTCGCGAAAGAGCACGAGTAGGGGAAAAGGATTTCATTGCGGTAGGGGTTTGCGGAATCTGAAAAGACCTGTTGCGCGTGTTGCTTTTCGTCGCTTCCTTTCACGACGATGCGTGGACACGCGAGCCAACGACGATTTCCTGCGAATGCACATATATGTACGCGAGGCGAGCTCATGCTACAGCCATTTACGCAATCGAGCCATTCGTGCTCCGCGCAGGTGGCGCTATGACGCAAACCTTTTATCAGTTGTATTCGCGTTCTGGCCGATATCCGAGCGACCGGTGTTAACGGTGAAAATAATACGCCTACGTTGCTAACGCCACGAACAATGTTTTTTCGTTCAATTCATCAAAAAACAGATGGGTTTTAATCAATTATTAAATAATTGAATGCAACGAGGAAAAACATACATGTTAGAGCGACAAATTGAATATAATCGAAATAATACTACCGAAAGGTGAGTAAAGAACGTAAAATACCGCCCTAAGTAACACAAATTTCACACAACGTTTCCACCTACTGCAGTCACGAAACTTAAAACTCAAATAACAAAAGTTTCCTCGGTACCTGATCATCGATGTCAACTCCCATAATTATTTTTCGATTTTTTGCAAACGAAATCGCACCGTGAATGGATTCGACGGTGACCAACTACTTTATCGTTAGGCGAACACCATCGTGGAACTTTGCGTGCCAATTTTGGGCTAGAGTTCTATCTTGGAAGCAACGTGGCCAGTAGTCTCGGTTGTCTGGGGCGCACCAGGAGAGGGGAAGTGACGTCAGGAGCGGAAACAGAGTACGCATGTGCGAACGCGAAGGATTCGACGAGGCGAGTGCGTGACCTAGTTACAATACAACCAAAAAAGAAGCTCGCAGATGATCCGGCCGGGTCGGTGGATTTGTTCGTTCGGTCCTATGGCGTATTTTGTTTTATTTAAAAATGGCCCTCGATAGGCTCCAAACTATGTATTAATAAGATTGCATCTACGAACTGTCTATATATATCAGAATTGAAACGAAAAAATGTATGAACAACATCTTAGTTATTTTTAGAGCTAAATATGTACCGCGTAGATAAAAGAGGCGCCACGTTTGAAATTTGGCAAGAGTTACAGCTCTGATTGTTAACGAGACACGCTTCGTTGTTCCAATTTCCTCGGTCAGCACTTCGATCGAGGAGTAGGCACGATAGGACCGTTCGATGGTCCCACAGCAATTACCCGC